AAAAAAAAAAAAAAAAAAAAAAAAAAAAAAAAAAAAAGGAAAGAAATAGCTGAGGGGTGATGAGAGGGAGGGGGGGAGTGGAGACCAGGAAAAGAAGTGGGGGAGACACCGGGTGAGAGGCCCAATTACCAGGCAGACCGATCTTCGGCCTCAGGGTCACCTCCAGTGTGGCCTTGTTGAAGATCTCTTTGCTGACTTTCACCTCTGCTGGCCCGTACACGCCTGCCAGGACGGAGGTATCCCCTGGGGAGACAGCATGGGAGGCCTCACCCAAATCTTCCCTGCCTCTGGGGCCCAACGCCTGGCACTTAACATTGTGGGCCCTGAGCCAGGTGGCCAGGGTTGCCCACATCACCCTCACTGTGGCCCACCATTTGTTGGTAGTGATTCTTTGAGCACTTGCTTCATTTCTCTGCCTCCACTTCCTCATCTGTAAAATGGGGATAACTACAGTACCTCCCTCACAGCTGTGAGGATTACATGAGATAAAAAGAAAACCACTTACAACTGTGCCTGTAAGTGCTGAGTGCCCAAAAGACTAGCTATTATTATAAACTTTAATGGGAGCTAAACTTTCTCCCTCTTACTGCTGCTGGTCCCAACTTCTCCATCCAAAGCTTCCCTTAGCCCAGCTCTCTTCCCTCAGGCTCACATCCCCAAACTGTGCAGCAGTCAGGACACCTGAGAAAGAGATAAATATCTGGGGGTGGGTCCTGACACCTGCTTATTTCCTCCTGGCTCTGTAACCTCAGTTGCTTTGCTCACTTCTCTGGGCCTCAGTTTCACCATCTGCAGAATGAGGAGACTGGATCTCAGCTGCAGCTTGCAAACTTTTCTGACCCTAACTCCCAATAAGAAATACGTTTTAGAGCAGGACCTAAAACTCACCCAAATCTATGTGCATGTAAATGGAACAAAAGCCTCACGAAACAACTCTTTCCGTTATTGCTTTGATATACTCTGATATCTTCTACTCTATTCCAGTTAAAAATAACCACTAATGACGCAGTGGTTCTCAACCCTGGCTGCACAATGGACTCATGCGTAGCTTTAAAAGATACTGATGCCCAGGTCCCTCCCCCAGAGAGCCTAATTCCATTGCTGGGGGTTGGGGCTCAGGCACCAGCAGCCTCAGAGCTCCACAGGCCATTCTACTGTGTAGCTGGGCCTGCAACCTGCAGTAGGAAGAAACGGAGCTCCAGCAAATCTTCAAAACACTGGCCTGCAATCAGAATCACCACAGCAATTAATTCAAAAATGTAGAAGGCCAGCCTTAGTTGGAGTGGGTAGGTTCTGAGGCTTTGCATTTTTAACCTCATCAGAGATTCTGAGGCCAGAAGCATGTGGGACACACTTTTGAAGGTTTGCAAAGGACCCTGCTCCAGGGTCCTGGGCTTTGGGATTTTAGAACACAAAAGGGGCTCAGTATTTCTTAAGCTCTGAGAAATTCCAGGCATCTGCATTTAGCAAGAGAGCTAAGCCTTGGGGAGGTCCCGGGTAGAGGCCTCTTTTCCCTGGGGTTGGTGGGGAGGAGCTGCCACACAATGGAGGGGATTTTCCCGGCTCCAGGAGAATGCACCCGAAGGGGGAAATTATCCAAGCAGAACAAGAGCCACACTGGGGCCTTCCTTCCTGTTACTCCAGATGAGCTGTCTGTGGTTCACGTGAGCACAAGAGTCCCTCCCCTCTGGACCCCACATCCATCTAACTCCTGCCCCATTTATCTGATCGTCTTACAGCAAAGCTCCTGAAGAACTTGTCTCCACTCACTGACTCTTTCTTTTCCTCCTTGACCCCATCCCTCCACCAGAACAGCTCTTGACTGCGCCACCAATGACATACGCCACCAATGACATACGTCCAAGTTGTCAACCCACAGGTCTAGCCCATCCTCACGTGATGCAGCCTCTCGGTAGGACTAATGCAGCTGGTTGGCCCTTACAGCTCAAATACGTTCTTCTCTGGGCTCCAGGTCACTGCCCTCTCTTGGTTTTCCTCCTACCTTACTAGCTTCTCCTTCTCAGTGTCTTTTCCTAGCTCTGCACAAGCTAGAAGACCCAGGGCTTAGTCCTGGGACCGCTTCTCTTCTCCATCTATACTAATTTTCTTGGTGATCCCATCCAATCGGTAGCTTGAAATACCATTTACCAATCGGTAGCTTGAAACACCATTTATAGCCGAAGGATTTCAAATTCCAGACTTGTATGTACCACTGCCCAGTCCACACCGCCACGGGGATGTCTACTACGCATTGTAAACTTAATGTTCCAAACTGAACTCATCTTCTCCCGGCACAGCTGATCTGGGAAAAAAACTTTCGCGTTATCCCTGACTCCTTTTTTTTCATATCCCCAAACCAAACCATCTGCAAAATCTGTCAGTTTTACCTTCAGAATCTCACCCCCTCCACTGCTTCCACTCTGGTCTGAGCCACCCTTACCTCCCCCTTTCCCTCCCTCTAACCTCAACAGTGCAGCCAGAGAGATTCTGTTAATATATATTCAGATCATGTCACACGGCTCCATTCTCAATCACTAGGCCTTATATGACGGGCAGGCCTCCTTACCTCCCTCCCGCCTCCTGTCTCTGCTGCAGCCACACTTGTCCCCTGACTATTCCTCACCAGGCAAGTTTTGGCCTCAGGGCCTTTTACCCCTGTGGTTCCCAATGCTTGGTAAGCTTTCCTCTTGATCTCTTTAGGGTTTGCTCCCTTACCTTTAGGTTTTTATTCAGAAGGTACCATCTCAGTGAGGCCTTTCCTTACCATCCTAATTAAGACTGCAATCCTTTCTGGCACACCCTAACCCTCTTCCCTACTATATTTTTCTCCACAGCATTTTACTATATATTTTACTTAGTTATCTTTTATCTGTCTCTTTGACTAGAACGTAAACTCCATTAGGGCAGGGATTTAAAAAAATTTTTTATCCATGTATTCTCAGTGCTAGCAAAAATACATGTGTTCAGTGAAGGAATGAATGAAAGCAGGTTCTGTACCTGGGTCTGAGGTAATGCCCTAAGGCAGGGCCTTAAGCATTTATGGGGGTGATCCTTAGGCCTGTCTCCAGAGGAATATTTCCCGGGGTCAGGGAGGTGAGTCTAGTCTGAGAATTATTTAGCTAGGGGAAGGGGATATTTACCTAATAGGTAAGACCTGCCCCAGTCTTAGGGATATAGGAGGAGTTGTGTATCCCAGTCAAAGGGATATTTACCCAATGGGTGGGGGTGGGGCTGGGGACATCACTCTCAATCTGATAAGTATCTACTTCGGTGGAAGATCTGCCACGGGTCTAGGGAGTAATTAAACCGCTAGTGGTGACTTGCCAGTCTACCGGATAGTTATGCGAACAAAGGGGTTTGCCTCACCCTGGGATGCATGGACGCAGGGCGCGTGGGTGGGAGGCGGGGGAGGAACCTAATCAAGGGAGACACCCGGGTAAGGAGATTTCCCCTATTCTGGAGTATTCGTTCTTAAGAGGAGGTCTGCCCCTCCTTCATTCTGAGTACTTACCAAAGTGGAAATACCTTCTCCCGGCTGGTCTGGAGGGAGAGATATATGTCTACTGACGTATGCAGTAGTATCCACCCCGGCAAGAAATGCACCAGTCCAGGAGGAATATTTACCAGCTAGCACAGTTCACTGTAACCGCGCCCTAAAACGAATACGACCTGGATGGGTTCCTACCTTGCAGGAAAGAAGCCGAGCCATCGGGCCGGGACAACAAATTCTGTTCGCAGGCAAAGTTCCGGAGGCTACAACCGGAACCCCGAGGGCCGGACTCTATTCCAGACTCAGCGCGGATCTTAGTCTCAGTCTGCATCACTCCCTCCATCGCCCCGGAGCCCACGTGCAGCCGGGATTGTCGCTTCCGCCCAGAAGCGCGCGCTGGCTTACAGACTGCGTACCTAGTGCGCACGCGTCGACCCGGGGTGGGGAGTGGGGGCTCCAGGATCGGCTCCCGCACGTGGCTCCGCGTTTACTAACAATTTGGTCCCTCCCACTGCCCCCTCGAAAGTCCAGGAAAGCCATTGGACAGAAGAGAAGAGAGGGAAGGCCTTGACATGTCCTACCCGAGGTCCCCGGGCCCTGAAACCCTGAGGCTCTGGTCAGGTTGCCCTCTTCTTTGCCTGTTACAGGAACAACTGCGATGAGGCGGTCAGAGTAATTTGGGGAAGCTAGATTGTTTTATCCACCTACATATGTGCCCTAGAGACCGCAGGACTAGTAGCAGGTGGCTTCTTGACAGGGTGATGCTGGCATTTGCGTCAGGCTTATGAAGTGGCAGCCCCAAGCTCGCCGTGGAGGGGCGGATCGGCGAGGGATTGTTAGCCAAGATGGCGGTGGCGGCTTCCGCGGCGAGGGTCTGGGGGTCAAGTCGAGGCTTGGGCCGGGTTGGCCTCCTCCTTCTGCGGCGGTCAGGGGCTCGTGGGCTGGCTAGATCAGTGAGTACCTGGGACCCCGGGGAGTTTTCTCCAAGGAGGTATAGGGATGTTTACGCTGTCTTCAGAGTGGGGGGGGGGTCCCTGTAGGGAGTGGAGGAAGGGCTTTTACAGAAGGGACAAGGGTTGGGAGAACCACTTGGAGAGGACACCCAAGGGAAGAACTTCCAGTTCCTTAGGAGGAGAAAAGCCAGGCAGCTCCTTTGTAACCCTGAGGGAGAGAGACAACTTGGAGAGAGTAAGGGAGCTTATTAGTTGCCGCCGTTCCCCAGGGGAGGCCGCTTGGAGGACACGGGGGGGGCGGGGAGGTGTGACCTTTCCTCTCAGTGGTTGGAGAAAACTGCCTTTGTAAGGGACAGACTTTCTTCTCGGTAAAGACTCCCCCCCTTCAAGGAGGAGAAAAGAGAGATCAGGTTTCCCATCAGGGGCTTTTATGGTGCCCTTTGCTCCAACTCTGATTTTAAAATGCATTGCGTAAAAAAGTTGTTTGATCCTGTGCCCCCTGATAGAATGCCTTGTCGTTTTTGGTGACTGTACAGAGAAGATGATCAATAAATATTTGTTGAATTAATGAAGGAGTGGGAGCGGGGGCGGGGGGAGAGAGGTCCAGACAGAGCACTTAGCCCACATTTCTTAGAAACACTTGAGAAATGCCTTGTTTCTTGTCAAAAGTGTTAGGTTGATGCTGCTAATTACTAGCTCACACAGCAGAAATCTAGTTAGGAGCCGCTATTTAGGAGAGAGGCCGGGGGCTGAGAAAAGCAGTGAACTAAGATTTCGCATATAAGAGAGTCGTGGTTAAGAAGATGGGCTCAGGAGCTAGACCATGTGGCGCCATGTCCCTAATCTGCCACTTTCCAGCTCTGTAGCTTTGCGCAAGGGACTGCTCCTCTCTGGACCTAATTTCCCCCTCTGTAAAATGCTAACAATGGCCACATCTTAGCGTTCTGTGAATTAAATGTGTAAAGTGCTAAGAACAGGACCTGGTATATGACGAGTGCAATCAGAATGTTGGCCGCTGTTGAAAGTGAGGGTGGAGGGAAGGGACAGAAACTGGCCTCGGAGATGGGGGAGAAGAAAGGAGGTGACCTTGGGAGGGTCTGGATTGGTGAGGGCCTTGGTGGAAAATCTGTCAAGATCTTGTGGGGTTGGGCCTGACCGTCTGATGCCCAAACCATTGGGAAGGGAAGATGGAATCTGTGGGAGGAAGCTCTAGCTAGGGAGAGAAACGGGGACAAGAAGATGGGCTGGGAGTGAGGTGTGGGGACACCTGGGAAGGGAGTTGAAGCAGGTAATTTCCGAAGGGCTGCCGGAGCAAGATGGAGGTGGGAGAGTCCCTGCCTTTGGGCTGTTCTCGGTGTGTTTTTTTTTTTTTTTTTTTTTTTTTTTTTTTTTTGAGCAGTCAGATTCCCCACAGCTGAGCTCCCTAGAGCCCACTGGTTGGGCCTGCGCGGTGGGGGTGGGCTGGACTGGGGCAGGAGTAGGGAAGGGTCATTCATGACTGATTAAATCTGCTTCCTTCCTGGCTCAGTATCCTTGCTGCCCTTCCCGCTTACTTCCCCTCCTTTTTTTTTTTTTTTTTTTTGGCGGGTTGGATTGGAAGCAGGAGGTCTTTCAGAGTCCCTACGTTTTGCGTATATATTTTTAGAGTCCCTGTTTTTTCTTCGCCACTTTTAAGTATTTCACTTGTTTTTTTCTTTTTTTTTTTTTTTTTTTGCGGGCCTCTCCCTGCTGTGGCCTCTCCCGTTGCGGAGCACAGCTCCAGACGCGCAGGCTCACCGGCCATGGCTCACAGGCCCAGCTGCTCCGCAGCATGTGGGATCTTCCCGGACCGGGGCACGAACCCGTGACCCCTGCATCGGCAGGCGACTCTCAACCACTGCGCCACCAGAGAAGCCCCTCACTTGTTTTTTTTTCTTAAGATTTAAAAAGGAAATTTTTTTTTTTTTTGAGGGGAGGGAAGGAGTAGTAGCATTTAGTCAAAGATTTTGAGCCTGATCTGGTCAATAGGACTCTTTGTAATGATAGGAGTGTTCTAAATCTATGTTATCCAGTACAGTAGCCACTAGCCACACGTGGCTACTGAGCACCTGAAATGTGGCTTAGCGTGACAGAGGAATTGAAGTTCTCATTTAATTTTTTTAATAAATTTATTTATTCATTTATGGCTGCGTTTTTCTAATTGCGTTGAGCGGGGGCTACTCTTTATTTCGGTGCACGGGCTTCTCGTTGTCGTGGCTTCTCGTTGCGGAGCAGGGCTCTAGGCTCACAGGTTTCAGTAGTTGTGGCTCGTGGGCTCAGTAGTTGTGGCACGCAGGCTCACTAGTTGTGGCACACGGGCTTAGTTGCTCCGCGGCATGTGGGATCTTCCCGGACCAGGGCTTGAACCCGTGTCCTCTGCCTTGGCAGGCGGATTCTTAACCACTGCGCCAGCAGTCGAGTCCTTGGCTGGTGTTTTAATTAAATACTTTATCATTTATAGTGCCAACTGACACCATTATTGTACTTATTTATTTACTTTTCATTATTGTATTTAATACTGCCATGCTGCAAGGTATGTACTGGTAGATTTCTTCTGTTACAGGGGAGGAGACTGAAACTCAGAGAGGTGAGACCTGAACTTGGAGCTCCGGACTCCAAAGCCTAGTGTCTCTCCACAGTACCAGTCTGCCAGGAGGAGAAGGGGTAGGGCTTCGGTTCAGGTCTTGCAACACCCTGCTTAGTCCAGACATGGTGTGTATCATCAGACTCTTCCTGGGGCTGGTGGGAAGAGGGGGTGGGAAGAGCCGACCTCAGCCCCCATCATGCCCGCCCTTCACTGCCCTTCAGCCCCACTGGCCATTTTCCCCTTTCCTTGGATGAACTCCTCCCACCCGGAGGCCTTTGTAGGGATATGGTCCTTCAGGTGTCAGGCTGAGAGTTCACTTCCTCAGAGAAGCTTTCCTGACTCCATGACTGGTCTCAATGTGTAAAAGAGGGACAATAGCAGTGCCTCCCTCAGAGAGATACGCTGAGGCTTAAAGGAAACAGTTCTTAGGAAGCACTTACACATATATCCATGTGCTCGGTAAGGGCTCAAGAAATGGGGGCTGCTGTTTTCCCCCAGGAACAGCCATCTGTTGTGGCCTTGATTGATGCAGGGAAAGGATGCTTCCCATCTTCAGTGGCTGGGGGAGCTTAGTGCTGCTAAAGCCGCCGGGTCCCTGAGGCCAGAGAAAGCCTGATCCATCTCCACACTTCCCTGGCCTCCCCAACCGGATCCGCCTGGAAGGGGAGGCCGCTGATTAGGTCACTGACATTCCTGAGCTGGAAGTAAAGCCAGGGTCAGCTTTGCACTCTTTGAGGCAGAGCGCCTCAGACTCCAGAGAGAGAGCAGGCTTGGCTGGCCTCAGCTGTCCTAACTTCCGAGGGCTCGGTTAACTGGCACCATCCACACAGCCTTCCCTGGCTGGACCCCACTCTTCTCTCCAGCTGCCCTGTAGTGGGCAGGCTGCCTGGCTTCATATGCTGACATCACTGCACATGATCTCCCTGGGTCATGGCCAAGTCACCTAACCCCTCTGAGCCTCGGGACCACCTGTGTGGTACGGAGGTGTGGTCATGGCGCCTGCTTCACCTGAGTGCCGTGCAGGTTCAGTGAGACACAGGCACCATACAGCAGGTGCCTCGTGTGGTGCCGAGGTACGTAGTTAACTGCTGTGGTTAACGTGCTACAGCCAGGTGGTCTCCAGGGTGCCAGGATCTCTCCTCTTGGCTCAGAGCCTTTGTCCTTCCCAAGGACTGACGTGTTCTCCCCCCAGCCTCTGCCTGGCTCACCCCTGCTCGTCCCTCAGGCCTCGGCTTCGCTCCCCCTTCCCCAGGAAGCTTTTCCTCCTGCTGCATGTGATGCAGCTAGTGAAAGCCTTCCTCCTCAAGCTACGGCAGGTGCTTTATACCCGCCTCACCACCAGCCAGTGAAATAGAAACTCTTATTTCCACAAGGGGACGCGGGTTCAGGGAGACAGTCTCCTACCCGAGGTGACGTGGCTGGAAAGGGACAGAGCCAGGATTCAAACACAGGCCGCTTGGCTCTCCAGCCCTCATCGTACCCTGCCTGTGTGTTAACTAACCTCTCTGCGATCGTACCTCCTCTGACATCGCCCCTCCTGACTATAACTTGTGTGTTCAGTGTCTGTCATCCGTCTCTCCCCGTTGTCCCCAGCCCTCAGTTCAGGGCCTGACTTGGAGCAGATATTCAATGATTACTTGTTTGACTGCTACGGTCATCAAGTACACTTGTTAGCTAGTCATAGTTATCGAGTGTTTGTTACGTGTCAGGCACTGGGCTGAGCACTGTACACACAGGGGCTCTTTAGATCCTCAGGACCGAGCTTCCCTGGCAGCTCAGTGGTTGAGAATCCGCCTGCCAATGCAGGGGACGTGGGTTCGAGCCCTGGTCCGGGAAGATCCCACATGCCGTGGAGCAACTAAGCCGCGGAGCAACTAAGCCCATGCTCCACAACTACTGAGCCCGCACTCTAGAGCCTGCGAGCCACAACTACTGAGCCCTCATGCCACAACTACTGAAGCCTGCACACTTAGAGCCTGTGCTCCACAGCAAGAGAAGCCACCGCAATGAGAAGCCTGTGCACCGCAACGAGTGGCCCCCATTGGTCGCAACTAGAGAAAGCCCGTGCACAGCAACGAAATAAATAAATAAATAAATGCAGCCAAAAATAAATAAATTGAAAAAACAAGCACTGTAAAAAAAAAAATCAGGACCATCTGTGAGATAGATGCTCACACCACCCTTGGTTTACACGTGAGGAAACTGATGCTCCGGGAGCTGTAGTTACACTCCCGAAGGCAGCTGTCAGCTCAGAGTCCCTGCCTTTAACTGTGGCCCCGTAGGGAGTGGCTCGAGGAGGGCCCACCCCAGTACCTGTGGGGCAGACCTTGGCCTTCCAGAACAGGCGTCTGTGTTCTGTGTGGTAGGAGAGAGCGTGGCTTCAAGGCTTTGTGTAAATCTGTGCAGCTTCTGCCATTGTAGGTCACTGCCACCAGGACAAACCCACTCCCCCACCAAAAAGAAGGAAAAATGGGTGGAGACACATATTTCCTCTGCAGGCATTTTACCACCCACTCCCATTATGGAGCATTTCCTCAGGGCCAGGCAGTGTGCCGATCCCTTTGGTAGCTCAAAGAATCAACACAGTAACCGTGGGGTAGGTACCACCTTCATCTCTACAGGCCCAGGAAGAGGGGGCATGGCCAAAGCCCAACTCCAGGGTACAGGGGGCATCAGGGTACCCTGACTAGCTCTCCAGCTTCTGGAGGCAGACAGTCCTGCCCTGACACCAGGGTTTGTTCGGAGCCCCATGACCCTGTCCTCCTGGCCCCTGGCCTCCCGTCCTAGAGCCCCTCCCCAGGTGGCATCTCCCCTGTCTCAGCCTCTCTCTGGAGTGTGCGCTGGGGCCTCCGTCTGGAATTACAATACAGTCTTGAGATGCAGTCAGCCCTTCTCCCCAGCTCCTCTTTTCCCCAGCTTCCCAGGGTGCCAGTCAGTTTCCTTTTTCCCATTTCCTGACCCTAGATTCTGTTTTTTTTCCTCTTTTACCAATTTTTGAGCATGAACATGTCCCATGCCTTTGCTGAACCCTTTGTGTGCCTTAGGAACTTTTTGCAGCAGCCCTCTGCAGCCTTTTCGCAGATAAGGAAATTTAGAGACACGGTGTTTTGCAGAAGGCTGTGCAGTGAGCTGAGAAATTGGAACCCAGGTCAGTCTGATTCTAAGCCAGTGAACTTAACCACTCATTCATCCGTTTGGTCAGTAATTGCCTGTTGAAGTGTGTGCTCTGTAAACCAATGTGGACATGCTTCTTGCCTCCCTGGAGCGTGTGATGTGTGGGGGAGGTACACATGAGAGGAATGGATCCTCTAGGTGAATGGAAGGGTCCGGCCGCGTGAGCGCTCAGAAGGCAGAAGCACGGCCTGCAAGAGTTGGGCCGCTGCCGTGCTGTTGTCAGGCCTGGACCCGCCCTGCCGTTGGGAGTATAATTTCCTTTATATGCTCACAATCACAAATGCAGATAAACGCACACATGTTCACATTCCCCTGCTGGAACGAGGCCGCAATTAAAGGAGGGAGGGCGGGGAACACATTTGAGCACCCATGTGTGAGATCCAGATCACGACAAGCCCAGACATTCTTTAGCACCTATTGGAAGTGAAGCCACAGTTACTGAGCTGAGAGGAACCTGGCGACTGGTGGAAAGTAAAGATGCAGATGTGTGCAAAGTGGGCCAGCAGTGGCAGCTGGGGTTCGGGGCCTGGGTTTAGGGGTCTGGATGTCAGCCCTGCCCAGGTTGGAAGCCCAGTCCTGACTTATTTGTTTTAGCCCTGGGGCCTGGTGCAGGGAGGTTATATTACCTGCCTGAACCTGGGTTTCCTCGTCTGAAGGGCAACAGTACATACTCTCTGCCTCACGGATGTGCTCTGAGGACTCAGTGAGGATTCTGCATGCGGACCTCAGCCTGGTACCCGGCAAAGGCTTAATATAGAGGCACTGTTGCAGCGCTGAGACTAGTTCAGGGCATTCTAGCTCAAGTGCTGAGAAATGGAATCGGTTCCCCTCCTGGTGCACATGTAGGCTTCTCCCAGGCTTTCCCCAACAGGCCTCCTCTCAGCCGGTGTGTGTGTGTGTGTGTGTGTGTGTG